TAGCACATACTGCAAATCTGAAAGAAAATATTGTCCTGGAACATTCTACGGGATTTGTTTCAAACACATTCTTCTTGACGTCTTTATCTGCGAATAATGTTTGTATATGCTACTTTCAGAACCTTCTGGTGCTGGTTCTACTTCTGGAACTCCGAGTGTCTAAGAATGTTATCACATCAATACAAGCTGCGAGTCGAGATGCTAGCTACTTTACAACTAATAATGCAAGTAACAATGAACGTCCAGATGTACGTAATAGTGCAAGTCAAGATACACGCAATAATGCAGATCTAGATACAAGTGATGATGCACATCAACATGTGAATCAAGATCAGTGTGTGCCGTGCAAATGTCATTACGATGGAGAGAGAGTCATAGCTGATTGTGGGAATAGGCAACTTGACAAAGTCCCATCACATCTACTATCCAACATAACTGATCTCAATCTTTCAGGAAACTACATACATCACTTGGAAAATGGATCTCTCAGTTATGCACATCTTACCAGATTGGATGTGTCTTTCAATCGTCTCAAGGACATTGAACTCGGCGCGTTTCAAGAGCTAAGAAACCTTGAAGTTTTGGATCTCACTCACAATCGTTTATCTCCAACAAAGGTCTATCGTGAAGGGTTATTCAAACGTCAGGCTAAACTGAAAGTACTCCACATTAACCAAAATGTTGAATCTCGCCCTTATGACGAAAGCTTAAACCGAAGAGTGGAAAGCCGATCATTGAAAGACAGCTCAAATTCTAGTTTCATTGAGAAAGACATTCACCCTATGCATTCTGGAAACAACTTTGGACGAGATGCTTACCCGGGCTGTGCATTCAAATCCTTAATCTCCTTACAAGATCTGCGCATTGATGGACCGATAGAACTATACTTTGGAAAGGGATTCACATTGAAACAGCTCCAGTCATTATCACTAGGGGGAGAGTTAAGGACGTGTTACACACGTTACTTGAGGAATGACACATTTGTGGATGTGCCTCACTTACAGACTCTGGATGTGTCATACTGTCTGTTGATTGACATTGAAATATCATCTTTTGAAGTTTTAAAGAATCTTACATCCCTCCTCGTGTCACATAACAGATATCTGGGAATTGCAAAAATGGGACAAGCTACGTATGGACTGCAGAATTCGTCTCTGAGAACACTAAACGTAAATAGAATAGGTCGAATGATGGGGCGTAGTACACTGTTGACAGTTGAAGATGTCAAATATCTAAAGAATACCAAGTTAGAAGAATTGTACATTGAAGCAAACAGAATAGAAATGATTGATAAAAATGTAATTATTAACCTTCCAAAGTCTCTCAAAAAAATATCCATCAAAGAGAATCACCTTTCGTTTGGGCTTTACTTGATGGAATTGTCGCTGTTGACAGATTTGGAGTGGGTAGATACGTCGCATCAAGGTACATCATCAATATCCTTCTTTGACACTACAAGCCTTCATTCACGTCGCCTTCTTCAACTGGATAAATATAACAAACCTATCAGGGGAAATGTTACAATTTATGTGCCTCCAAATGTTACATTTATCGATGCAAGTCATTCAAAAATGGCCTATGAAGTCATACGTTTCCAAATTGGTGAAAACAAAATTCGGGAGATAGATATATCGTTTAATTATTTTTCCTTGTGGACGGGTCCCATCATAGGATTAACACACCTAGAAAAATTACATGCTTCTAACAATTTCCTCGAATACCTTGCTGAAGGAGTTTTTTCATACTTTCCATCCTTGAAGTATCTGGATATCAGTTCCAATTATTTTGGATATACCCTCACGAATGACACATTTGGTGAAATGCCTTTGCTGGAACACCTTGACTTATCAAATAATAAAATAAGTTCACTTCCAAAGCTGATCTTCAAAAATAGCCGTCGGCTTAAATTCTTAAATTTAGGTTCTAATTATATGATGTCCTGGAAAATCGAAATAATCAATTTCAATATGACAGTCATCAATTTATCAAGAAACGCTTTTGATGAAATTCCATCTCTTCTGCGCCATCAAGTCAGATGCATGGTTAGACGTGATTTTCAGCTTTACTTTAAAGACAACCCTCTCAAGTGCAATTGCTTGACACTGAACTCACTGAAATGGATGATAGATAATTCTTTTAAATTACCTGGTCTTGATAACATGATCTGCGTGGATGACAGCAACAGACAACTATTCTTGAAAGACATCCATCAGATCGTTTTTGACCTTGACAAAAAGTGTACCTCCTACTTAGGTTTATCTATCGGTGTCCTCTGCCTTGTGATGCTTGTTCTAAGCTTGTCCATAACAGGAATAGTGTACAGGTTTAGATGGAAATTGAGGTATCTTTACTATCTGGTACGAATAAAACACCGGGGTTATCTGGCTGTGGAGGGGGAAGAAGAAGGTGGACCTCAGTTTGAGTTTGATGCTTTCATCTCCTATGCTGACGAGGACCGAGGATTTGTTGTGGAGAACATGAGGCGGATATTGGAAGGACAGCAGGGACTTCGACTCTGTATCCACCATCGAGACTTTCTTGTGGGGGAAGCTATTGCTGCAAACATCCTGCACGCCATCAGATCAAGCAGGAGGACAGTGATAATCCTGTCAAGGAACTTCCTGAAGAGCTACTGGTGTAAGTACGAAGTGGAGATGGCTAAGATGGAGAGTATCTACACTGGACGGAACACACTGCTGGTGGTAATCCTGGAGAAGATCCCGGTGAAGAATCTACCCCCTAACATTGTGGAATTAATGCGCCAAGACTCCTACTTGGAGTACACAGATGATCGGGAAGGTCAGGAGGTGTTCTGGGAAAGTCTTCAACGTGCTGTACATACTGCGTAGTTGCTTGCCTAGATATGGGAGCATGTGTTTCATAACTGAACTTACCTTTATCATTTCTAATTTCATACTTTTCACATTGGTGAAACTTAGTGATATATTATATTATCGGTTTCTTTGAGGAAAGTAAGCAATAGCAGTACACAATGTAAATATATGTTTGTAGGGATTTGATCATTTTCTGACATGGAACTGAAATGTAAACAGAACAAACATGTACTTTAACGTGATTGTTTACTAAAATCAACCAGTCACTGAAGCTAGAACCCATGTCACAAAACCTATCGTAAGCTCCATCTCATCATAATGTTTGTGTTCATTTGTTTTCCTTCATTTCAGTTTTATATAATTGTTTGTATTTTCCCGAATATGGGATAATATCCACTGTATCTATGAGCAGACATATATCTGCAATTGTTTCGTTTGTTTACGATCTTTAAATAAATGTTTGCTTTTATATGTAGTTAATAACTGTTTTTCCTCGCAGGGATGAGTGAGTGATGATTAACGCTGCTCTGCGGTTTTGTAAACAGGTCCAATGTTACCCAATGTCAATACAACAAGAAGACAAAGTCGTCAATATCCCCCGCAATGGCAAAATACTCTTCATGAATATGTCTACGAGTTAAGATTATGTCAAATGTTTTGGTGTGTATATAGAAAAGTGGAAGGAGAGTATTGAAAGGTTTTCAAAGTTCTGCTCCAGAAAGAAGCAATACCACCAGATTCTAAGTCAAACTTTTTGGCATGGAAATGCAAAGATATTTTATTCAGAAATCCAAAACTACCAAAAGGCACCAGTACACCACCAGACCAATCGATGTGCCAAGTTTGGTGACGAAATAGTGAACGGTTTTAGAGTTCAGCTCCGGAAAAGACAAATGTGCACGGACGCACGGACGGAGCGCATTTTAATACCCCCACAAAACGCGCTACGGGGGATAATAACTGCCTTGATAATTCCTTCAATACTAACTGTGATGAAGGAAAACTAAGTTCTACCTACACCGAAACGTCGCACCCATTGCAATAAAGAAGTTGACTATCCATAGAACTTGGTTTTCCTTCATCTATACAACTTCTAAGAAGCCTCTCAAAGAAGTTACTAACTGTGATGTTGTGAACAGGTCTAAAGTTGTCCCATGGCTTCACAAGTACATTAATAATTCCTTGAACACTAACTCGGATGTTGTAAACAGGTCTAAAGTTACCCAACCGCCTCCGTGGTGTAGTGGTTAGAGCGTCCGCCCGGAGAGCGGAAGGTCGCGGGTTCAATCCCCGACTGCGTCATACCTAAAGACGTTAAAATATGGTACTTGTTGGTCCCTGCCTGGCGCTCGGCATTAATGGGTACAACAAGGATTGGTCGGCTCGGAGTCAGTATAATGTGTCTGAGTGGGGTATTCATGCTTCACTGCGGCATGGTATCTCAGTGGGCTAGCACTATAAAACCAGCTTCAGTCTGGGCTAGTACAAGCAGCCGCACATACACATACACACGCATGCACGTCATCATATGAGCGAAATATTCTCAAGTACGACGTTAAACCCAATTTCACCTCATCTAAAGTTATCCAATGTCGAATATATATACACCAACTACCCTGAAAAGAATATGAATAATAATAGCGAGGAGATAAACACATCTCTCATCACTATAATCTGTTTTCGTAAACTATGTTTAATTGGTGATTTTAAATTCGAAACGGGAATGGGTATTGCTATTTGCTGCAGACACGAATGTCAGCCTGAACAGGTCCAGATTTTAACCTTTACCTGGAGGTTTGTTTTATCACAGGAAGCAGTTGAGTCAAGTGATAATTTATTTTTAGGTTAGCCATGATAACGTAAATGAAAAATGGACATTCTACATCAAATCTCTAGTATAGTGTATGCTATATAAAGGACATACCTAATCGTAGGAAATCGGGCAGGACAATGCATATTTTTACACACACAGTAAACGATATCGCGAGCGCAAGCCTAATGAATGATTGCTTCGCTCAACGCTTATTCCCCTTTTCAATATGACCTAGTACTGCCGCTAGCATTGTGGGTGTTATACAGGTTGGCCTGTTTTTAACACAGTGCAGTGAACAGTGACAACACAGGAAGACTCAGACCATCAGTAATGGACTGAATGCTTAAAGCGACATGGACACATCACAGAAAGTGCTGCATGCTGTCGGAGGCGTTGTTGTAGCTGTCGTGTCAGTCGTCGCTGTCAGGAAACTATTTCACAAGTAAGTTGTCACGTTGATGAGCTAGACATACTTTTAGCAATATTCCAGCAATATCACGGAGGGAGACACCAGAAATGGGCTTCATGCATTGTACCCCTGTAGGGAATCGAACCCGGATCTTTGGTTTGACGCGCTAATGCCTTAACCACTGGCCTACCCCACCGCCCCCATAATCTAAAGAAAAATCCTGGGTACTTTCGTCGCTAAAGCAAAAAGTTTAGCCAGAGCTTTTCGCTCTTCAGATCTGTCTGTAACTGTATACCGAGGGGTCTAAAATTCAAGTCTATACAACGCTGTCCATGCAAACAATGGCAGTACTGCTAAATCACGTGAGTGTACAGGAGAGACCCGTCAGTCAAGTCCGTTCAGCCCCATGGATGCCAGAGGGGCACGTGCATGTTACTCCTCTTCAACCCTGACTTTAAAATTAAAGCTTAGTTTTTAAGACTGAGCCCGGTTTATTTTCAACAGCTGATTACATTCGCTGAGTGTTGTGACAACTGAAAACCTATATGTAGAAGACAAGTTACCTATTCTGTCACTACATTTTAAGTCAAATAATTGTTATTAGTGTCGGTATTAGTACAGTAGATTTGTAGTAAAGTTTCAAGTCGGCATGTTATAGCTCACTGGCTTCAGTTCTCGGTACACAGCGAAGAAAGACTAAATTCTACTGATAAAAACCTCTTTCACATATTCGATTAAATTTTAGAGGGGAAATATACCTTTAGTTGAAAGGTGTTTGCAAGTAATAGTGATAGTTTTATAACTTTGAAAAAATTGTTAGAATCTATTTGAGGTGTGTGAAAAATATGACATCGCCGATCTCCCATTGAAATACTATAGGGCGTTGTTTGAGTGTCTAGTTATTGTTCTAAAAACTTCTTTCACATACACCTTTAATTTTTATGAGGGGAATATACCATCAGGTGAAAGGTGTTTGCAAGTAATAGTGATAGTTTTATAATTTAAAAAAATTGTTAGGGTGTATTTGAGGTGTGTGAAAAATATGACATATCGCCTATCTGTTCTGATCCGCCATTGATGCTTGTGATGCTTAAGTGTTATAGTTCTAAAACTTCTTTCTGTCTTGTTGGTCTAAACTTTCTGTATTTGAGGGGTGTGTGACAGTGTCAGTTAATATTCTGTCAATGTCCATGCCATTCCACACATGCGATAAGATATCTGAATTAACTACTAATGTAAAAAATGTCTCCAAGTAGATTTTAAGAAAAAGGGACAGCTGATGTTAACACATGTGTTCTAGCGATAGTTTTGCGTTCTTTAACATGTTTGGGGAGGGATGGCCGTGGTGTATCATTTATTCTTTCATTCATTCACATATGTATTTCTTTCTGTTGTTCTTTTTCTTTAATTCTTTCATTCATTCACATATAATTCTTGCTCTTAATTCTTGCTATAATTCATTCATTCATTCATTCATTGTAAAATTCCGACTGATACAATAAACTGGCTGAAGTACTGCTAAACGCAGCCGAAGTTGCGCTGGGAACGAACCAAGTCATTGTGTGCGTTGGAGCATGACGAGACACACGCTACAATTAGTACAAATGGTAAAGAAAGCAAGCGAGTGACCTATCCCTGATGTAGATTATCCCTGATGTAATGAATCCTTAACTATGTCACAAGCAAAGCTGAAGACATAATTCTAGCCAGTGAAACTGATAATGCGGTTAGGGGGTGAGGGTACTGGGTCTTTAGGGACGGTCATTTACAATAACGTGGTTTCGTTGTATAGAGAGAGGAGTAAAGAGTATCCCCGAGATACGGTGATCCTTCATCAGATCGGTAGAGGTCCTTACGCCCCCAGCATGACACCGTTTGCTGTGAAGCTGGAAACCTATCTCCGGATGGCCAGGATACCCTACCAGGTAGGTGAATGAGGTGTTGAGTGAGTGAGTGAGGTAAACCACTGGGAAGGACAGAACAAACCATCGAAGCAAAAGTCATTGTGCACAGTCAGCCAGATACACATTGTAACCACCCGATCAGCATAAATCGACTCTGACTTCACTGACTACAATGTTCGAGATCACAGCTTCCTACATTGTTGTCATCTAACATATGTATACATTGTGACCTGGCTGTTTGTGTATATCCCGATGTGTATATTGTTGTTCATTCTATCAACCGCTGGGAGCGAAAGTTGATGTTTGCAGTTAATCACTCATCTTCTGCCCAGAACCTCGTTACACAAGACATACATACTTATGGTAATATATGAGGCGATTGCTTTGTAAACCAAAACGAGATCACCGAAGAAGGCTCTGTGTGTCCGTCCGTTCGTGCGTTTGTCTGTGCATACATGCGTGTGTAAGAGGTTTAAGGGACAAGAAGAAGGTTACACCGGTTATATCGTGGAAGACCACGAGATATCGAGTAACGTCGCATCTTCAGGTTAACTCAAGAAACACATCACTTACAGTATCATGTATAAATTTCCTAGTTTACATATACCATTAACATACTAGGGCATATTCCATTTTTCGAGCATACCACAAGCCAATGCCGATGCATATGAGAAAAATAATATATATCCATACAGATGAAACATTTCCAAAGGAATGGAATAAATTGTCACATTAACCCTTAATTTCTCTTCATCATCTCTTTCCTCCTTGGCTTCATCATTTGCATTTTATCAATCTTGTAAATCCAATATCCCCTACTTTTTTTGAATGGTATATATTCACATAAGTCACAGTTTTTCTTCTGCGCATAGTTCCTCATGCCGTGTCACGTTTTCCATAGAACGTCCATGGAATGCAACCTTCACCTAAGGGCAAGGTCCCCTGGATTGAGTACAATGGCCAACCTATTGGGGACACCACGCTGTGTATACATTTCCTCAATCAGAAGCTTGGGGTGGACCTCAACAAGCCCCTGAGTCCAGCTGACAAGGGTATAGCGCAAGCGATGCAGGTCATGACGGAGGAACATCTGTACTGTTATGTCAACTTTAATTGGTCTTCAGTAACCCATGCAACGAGATAGGGTGGTCAGGCTCGCTGACATGGTTGACACATGTCATCGTATCCCCATTGCGTAGATCGATGCACATGCTGTTGATCACTGGATTGTCTGGTCAAGACTCGATTATTTACAGGCCATATAGCTGGTCTATTGCTCAGTGCGGCGTAAAAATAAAATTCACTCATATGGAAGACATTTAAAAAATTGACGCATCACTGACAAAAATTATGTCTGATGCAATTCCCTATGTTGACATATACCATATTTCCACGAATCAACCAACGTACTGATGATTTGAAATTCCGATCCAGGCTGCTTGCCCAAATCTGCTGGTTGTACAGCAGAGACGCATCGTTTATTTTGGAAACGTTTAAATTCTCCAAGTTCTTTCTATGGATGATACGACGACATATCAGAAAACAAACATGGAGTCAGGGATAGGGTCGCCACACGGAGGAAGAGGTCGTCGAAATGATGTATAAGGACTTCCAATCTATCTCCGACTTTATAGGTATTTTTTGTGAAAATTGAGTTTGGTAGTGAGTCTTTGAATAGTCATTCGGTTATATTACTGGGTACATTCACCTTGGAGGTTCCTGCTACGACTGTCGTGAGTCTATGTTACAGTATAGGAGGTACGACAGTCGTAGCGCTACGATAGCTTTGTGAAACGGGACCCTGTGGTTGCCGTTTCACCAATGCCTCTCATAGCTACGACGTCCTAGCGGATACGACCGACTTTAGGATGTCCCAGCGTAATGATTTACGACCCTTCCACTAAGATAAAAATTTAAGAGCTGTTGTAAGCCTATGTTACAGTATAGGACGTACGACATTCGTGGTGCTATGATAGAACCCCGGTGTGAAACGGGGCCCTGGTTTACGATGTGGTTTAAGACGTTGTAGCGCTAAGAGGCTTTCGTGGAACGGCACCCTGGTTAGAACAGGTCACTGTGTTGTGTTGGTAGTAATAGGTGACCAAACGGATCGGTAGTCACTCTAACAGACTGGTTTGATAGCGTGTGATGACGGCTTGAAACATGCCTCTAAATATCATTCACAGGATTGCCCGGTACAATCTCGAATATCCACAGTCCGCTGTCTTGCAGTTGGACTAGTGCCATGCGAGGCTTAAAAGAACAAACGAAACTGACAAAACAAACACAACCTGTATCAACTTGCTTTGAACAGGAGGCAGTACCTCAACCCAAAGTTTTGCAGGTCTGAGACAGAAACTCAGAAATATAATTTTGACCCCAACTTAAGGTTCGAATCCAATTCTGCAACCCTTTGGCTCCAGACTGAAATGAAGAGATTTTCATATATTGTTATATTTAGTGATTAAGTATATAGGTTACGTAAGTCTATAATTTATAAACCTTAAGTTTCCCAATCGCCCCAAACCAGACGGTCAGTTGTTTCAAGAAGCCTTTACTCTTTTAACGTGCGCCGACCACATGTTTGAATGTCCCTGCATTATAATTAACCAGTAACAATGGAGAAAAACCAACAGAGGACATGAATATCATAATCCCTCTTCTCTTCGATGCTGTATGGAAATCTAGCGGTGAAGATCCGGGTTAGAATTGGTCTTCAGCAACCCGTGATTGTGGTAAGAGGCGACTAACGGGATTGGGTGGTCAGGCTCGCTGGATTGGTTGACATATGTCATCGTATCCCCATTACGTAGATCGATGACCATGCTGTTGATCACTGGATTGTTTGGTCTTGTAAGCTGGAATATTATGAGAGCGGCATTAAACAACAAACCAAACAACCAACTGTATGGAAATCGAAAAGGAAATATTTATATTTTTTCCCCTTTGTTAGATAACTTGATATGGTTTATACATACTTATCCTGTACAATCTGAATGGAGGTACAGGTACAGGGACATTATTAACTAAGTTACATCCTGTATACTAGGGAGGAAGAAGTTCCTGATGGGAGATGATCCCTGTGAAGCGGATTGCTCTCTGTTCGGTATGCTGTCTCAGGCATATTGGCAGTTTAATGGATCTGGATTTGAGAGTCTCATAAAAGGTGAAACCCGGAAAACAGGTTGGCAGTGATATTCCAATTAATTACCTAATCGAAATTTTCACTCTCGTCACATATACGTCATTGTTATTCCTGAGTAGTAAAATGTGACAAGCGTTCTATTCCACTCACTTTTCATACATATTCGCGATGTGAATTCCACATGAAAGGGTTTTGAGAAATTTTCAATTATTCTTATAGAAAGTGTGTGATGTTTGCAAATGCTGTATAAGTCAGTATCAACGTGGGCGATGGGGTAGCTTGGTGGTTAAAGCGTTCGCTCGTCACGCCAGAGACCCGCAGTTCTCCGCAGTCAATAGCACTCTGGACGAAGTTTACGTTATGGCTAAAGAAATTGCTCTAAACTCTCGTCGGTTTTGTCTCTTCTGAAGTATTTGTGTATCATGTATGACATATGCATAGTGGTGTTTGTGGAACATTTTTGTTGATAACATCTTATTTTCCCCAGATAATTATCCCAACCTGCCGCCTACTGTGAACGTATGAAGGAAGCATTCTGGCCGGACTGGGACCAGTGCATCACGCACGGTGGAACAAGGGAGGCAAGCAAGTGAGGGGAGATAACTCAGGGACTGCCCCTCCATTAACCCTTAAAACATGATATATAATAATTGTTTGACCGAATAAAGAGTTGAATTATATATTTTCATATAATTTGTGTTTGAGTGTAAGAGAATCAGTGAATATAATCTTTCGGCTCTTGCCGCTTAATTTCAGCAGTATATCGACGGGGGACTTCAGGAACGGAAAATGTATGAAAGAACGTGGACTAGTGTAGCTAAGTGGTTATATCACTAAGTCTTGTTGAAGACCCGGGTTCGATTTCCAACATGGATGATAATACGATGCGCCAACAACGTCGCTGAAATAATGCTCAAACCCCTCTCACATAGATATTTGATTGTTGATGATATATTCACTGGCATGTGAGAAGAAGTATAATGAATTCTGCTTGTTTTTATCAAGAATAAACGTTACTGTTTATATCTAATTACTGATGTACATTATATTCGGTAATCTTAAGAGCGTAAGAACTTTAAATAACTGTTACTCATATTAACTGGTTCTAATAACATATGCTTCAATTACGTATTTCTGTGTTCGAGTGGGTGAGTTTAGTTTTACGCCGCACTCAGCAATATTCCAGCTGTATGGCGGCGGTCTGTAAGTTATCGGGTGCGGACCAGACCATCCAGGCATCTGGACCCCATAACTCTGTGGGGTTCGCTTAGCGAGGAGCGAGAGTCGATTTAACGTTGCATTAATTCATTCGAAGTTTTCAATAGTGTAATTCAAATACGTAATTTGTTTTTGGGATAAGTTTCCTATCTGACCTTGTCCAAGGAACCTTAGATCATCAACACAACATATGTCAAAGTCAGCTGTTGGTCGGACAAAGACATTCGGAGACAGGTCTTTTCAATCTGGGGGTCCATCTTTATGGAACAAGCTACCACTGTCTACGATCAGAAGAGCAACTGAGTACTTTCAAATCAAAATTAAAGACTCATTTATTCTCGGCAGCCTACGACACCCACCAGTGCTTTTGAGCAACCTTCCGAGGGATGGATATTAGCGCTATACAAATGCATATACATTGATTTCTGTATATTTAGATAAATGTGGTGTGACATTGTGCCTTTAAAGTATAGGTGATACGATAGTCGTAGCGTTGTGATTGCTTTGTGAAACGCGGCCTTGGTCCACACTCGCCTGTGACAGAGATGGGAGACTGAAGAAACACCCGCTTAGGACACCATTCATTTATTGTTTCCATGGCTGCAGCTATCAGCTTTCACAGTATGTCATCAAATTATACATAACATATCTAACTGGTCATATGCTGACATGTCAAGCGAGCATATGGAGAAACACATTTTCACTAAAACCTGTCTTTGTACCATGTACAAATTTCTATTTTGTTTCAAATAAAATATTTTAATATAAGATCGTTTGTTTCATTGAAACACACCCGTGGGGATTTCTATTTGTTTTATGTTCCCAGCAGCCAGTGTTAGTCCACGAGGTGTTTGCATGGATCAGCTGTTTGCGGTTAAATTTCGCTTACTTGAAATTTATTAACCACTTGGCATAACACCCCACCGCCATGAATCGTTGTCAGTCTCTGGTCCCCCTTGTCGAGTCGAGGCGGCGGGTTAGTCTAGCGCTTAATGCATTCGTTCGTCACGCTGAAGACCCGGGTTCGATTCTCCCAGGGATAGAATGTGTGAAGCTCATTTCTGGGATCTCTGTGATGTCGCCCTCGCCTTGATGTTGCTGGAATATTACTGACAGCGGCGTTAAACAATACTCACTTGTCGAGTATATATATATGTATATATACATGTACACAATATGTAACAGGAATATTCATGTATGCCACGCAAACAGGAACAAGTGTCAGGTGCACGAATAACAATTTCAATAATAACACGAGCTGCGAGTGAGTGAGCGTAGTTTTACGCCGCACTCAGCAATATTCCAGCTATATGGCGGCTGTCTGTAAATAATCATGTATGCACCGGACAATCAAGTGATCAACAGCATGAGCATCGATTGACACAATTGGATACGATGACGTGTCAACCAAGTCAGCGACCCTGACCACCCGATCACGTTAGTCGCGTCTTATGAACCCGGATCCACGAGCAGCGAGAAATGCTGCAGGATGGTACTACCTCGGCAGGAAAGATAATTATTCTGTAGTTCCCGAATCATGAGTAGGTTATTTGATATATAATTTTGTTTGTGAGAAAATATAAATAATGCACGTGTCAAAGTGATTACGTAAGCTTAGTACCTCTTTGGTTGGAACGACGTGACCGTATGACAAAATGCCATGATCAGATGACTGACATCATGAGCATCTTTGTTGACTAACCATTGAACTACAGGGCTAAAATTAAGAAGAGTGGCGCTGAATATACGTTTCACCTTAAATCCTGAGTGTGCGTAAGTATGCGTAGCGGGGCGGTGGGGTAGCCAGTGGTTAAAGCGTCCGCTTGTCAAGCAGAAGACCCGGGTTCGATTGCCACATGGCCAATTTCTGGTTTCCCCCGCCGTGATATCGCAGGAATATTGCTAAAAGCGGCGTAAAACTCACTCACTCACTCACTCAGCAATGAGTTATGGACGTACTGACCGTAGGTACATGAGATATTTGAGCTGAACAGTTTAGTTTAATGCTTTATTCAGACATCCGGTTTTGTGAATAGACAACCTGGTATGACTGTGAAGTAATCATAGTGAACTACATGAATAAACCCAGTCAGACATTACTTGTTTCTCCTTTCAACGTGACATAAAATATCCAGTCGCTATCTGGGAGTTGTTTAGCTCAGCCTGTTACCACAGCAAGTAGATCACCAATGGATACTCTCGTGGATGTCTTCCATCAGACAAACCGCTATATACTGTCGGGGGTGTTGGATCGGTCATCACCGTCAGGAAACTGATTTCCAAGGAAATCGTACGCGTTCAACGGGCTTGTTCTCAACAATTAAGGGGTGGTGGGGTAGTCTAACGGTTAAAGCGTTGGCTCGTCACGAAGAAGACCCGGGTTCGAATCCCCACATGGGTACAATGTGTGAAGCCCATTTCTGGTGTCCCCCGCCGTGATGTTGCTGGAATATTGCTAAAAGCGGCGTAAAAGCAAACTCAGTCAGTCAGTCTCAACAATTAAACGGTGAAACAGTAAATTTGGTACCCCTGTAAACCTGCTGTATCCTCATAGGAATAGACTGGATCCTCATGGCGTTTGAAAACACGCTAGGTGCTATGAGCCGTTTTGATATAGGGAGAGGAAGAGTTGGGAATATGTTCAGAATTTTAAATTTGGAATGAATGCTTCAATTTCGTTCTCTCAATGAACGCAACAAGGTCGAAGAGACAGTTTTATGTAGCACATCAGCTTTATTTTTGCATGTTATTTACCGCACTCAGCAATCTCCCGACTTCATGACGGTGGTGTGTGAACAATCGATGACATGTATTGACATAGCAGGCGAGGCTGAACATCCGATCTCGTTGACAGCCTACTACGACAAGCATGGTTGCTGAGGATCATTTCCGTCGAGGGGCTCAAGTCCCAGATCTAAGAAACGGGAAGCTTTAAAACGAGAACTATTTGTTGAGATTGCGTTAATAAAGGCCACTGGAGCAATAGATCAGAATTATTTTTACATGCCTTCCTCACTAGTTTTCACATCTGAGTTTAAGAGAATAGTGGATTTTGAATATGGCCTCCATACATTTTTCTACCTATAGGAAATTAGCAATAACACGGCGGGGGACTCCAGAAATAGGCTTCACACATTGTATCGATCCATGTGGGGAATCGAACCCGAGTCTTTAAAGGACGCTTCAACCTCTACCTCACTGGTTGATAGGCTCACTGTGCTGACTTATGGTCACACCTCACTGAAGGAACTATTAATAAGCACATCTCAGTCTATTGATGTTTGATTGGCACCCACTTTATGAATGAAATATTTGATGTCTGTCAGTGAGGCGTCGAAGTTGGTTTTTCAATCGTTCATTGAGCAACGTGGGCCTAACAGTTGTTTTAAGGGAAAGACAAACATCATTCATAAAACGACTTTGATCTTTCAACCATTCGGGGAGTGAAGTGGGACTATCAAATATTTCATTCATAAAGTGACGGCGAGGGCGACATCACAAAGACCCCAGAAATGAGCTTCACACATTCTATCCCTGGGAGAATCGAACCCGGGTCTTCTGCGTGACGAACGAATGCATTTACCGCTAGACTAACCCGCCGCCTCGACTCGACAAGGGGGACCAGAGACTGACAACGATTCATGGCGGTAGGGTATTATGCCAAGTGGTTAATAAATTTCAAGTAAGCGAAATTTAACCGCAAACAGCTGATCCATGCAAACACCTCGTGGACTATCACTGGCTGTTGGGAACATAAAACAAATAGAAATCCCCACGGGTGTGTTTCGATGTAACAAACGATCTTATATCAAAATATTTATTTGAAACAAAATAGAAATTTGTACATGGTACACAGAATGGTTTTAGTGAAAATGTGTTTCTCCATATGCTCGCTTGACAGGTCAGCATATGACCAGTTAGATATGTTATGTATAATATAATAACATACTGTGAAAGCTGATAGCTGCAGCCATGGAAACAATAAATGAATGGTGTCCTAAGCGGGTGTTTCTTCAGTCTCCCATCTCTGTCACAGGCGAGTGTGGACCAAGGCCGCGTTTCACAAAGCAATCACAACGCTACTACTATCGTATCACCTATACTTTAAAGGCACAATGTCACACCACATTTATCTAAATATACAGAAATCAATGTATATGCATTTGTATAGCGCTAATATCCATCCCTCGGAAGGTTGCTCAAAAGCACTGGTGGGTGTCGTAGGCTGCCGAGAATAAATGAGTCTTTAATTTTGATTTGAAAGTACTCAGTTGCTCTTCTGATCGTAGACAGTGGTAGCTTGTTCCATAAAGATGGACCCCCAGATTGAAAAGACCTGTCTCCGAATGTCTTTGTCCGACCAACAGCTGACTTTGACATATGTTGTGTTGATGATCTAAGGTTCCTTGGCGGCTGATATTCATGCACAAGATCAGATAGATATACTGGCGCTTTTCCGTGCAAGGATTTGAACATTAATACAAGCATATTGTACTGGATGCGTTCTTTGATTGGCAACCAATGTAATGCCATCAGAACAGGAGTGATATGTTCTGACTTCTTAGTTCGCAGCTGAGTTATGGACCTTCTGTAGCTTCATCAGGGGTATTCTGGAAGTCCGTGAAGCAGATCATTGCAATAATCCAGTCGAGATGTAGCATATGCTTGAATCAGTGCTGCTGCCGTTTCCTTGGTGTTATATTTCCTTATCAGTCCAATATTGCGGATGTGATGGATATCTCTCAATAATGCTAACTATCAGCCCCCAGGGAAGGTACCATATAACTTATCCCAAAAACAAATTACGTATTTAGATTACAATATTAAAAACCTCGAATGAATTAATGCAACGTTAAATCGACTCTCGCTCCCTCTACCGGTCGAACATTATTTTAAGCGAACCCCACAGAGTTATGGGGTCCAGATGCCTGGATGGTCTGGTCCTGACCCGATTAGTTACAGACCGCCGCCATACAGCTGGAATATTGCTGAGTGCGGCGTAAAACTAAACTCACCCACTCGAACACAGAAATACGTAATCGAAGCATATGTTATTAGTACCAGTTAATATGAGTAACAGTTATTTAAAGTTCTTACGTTCTTAATATTACCGAATATAATATACATCAGTTAGATATAAACAGTAACGTTTATTCTTGATAAAAACAAGCAGAATTCATTATACTTCTTCTCACATGCCAGTGAATATATCCTCAACAATCAAATACCTATGTGAGAGGGGTTTTGAGCATTATTTCAGCGACGTTGTTGGCGCATCGTATTATCATCCATGTAGGAAATCGAACCCGGGTCTTCAAACAAGACTTGGTGATATAACCACTTAGCTACACTAGTCCACGTTCTTTCATACATTTTCCGTTCCTAAAGTCCCCCGTCGATATACTGCTGAAATTAAGCGGCAAGAACCGAAAGATTATATTCACTGATTCTCTTACGCTCAAACACAAATTATATGAAAATATATAATTCAACTCCTTATTCGGTCAAACAATTATTATATATCATGTTTTAAGGGTTAATGGAGGGGCAGTCCCTGAGTTATCACCCTTCACTTGCTTGCCTCCCTTGTTCCACCGTGCGTGATGCACTGGTCCCAGTCCGGCCACAGTACGTTCACAGTGGGTAGCCAGGTTGGGATAATTATCTGGGGAAAATAAGATGTTATCAACAAAAATGTTCCACAAACACCACTATGCATATGTCATACATGATACACAAATACTTCAGAAGAGACAATACCGACGAGA